CTTACAACGCTAGAATCCGGGTTTCGATACCCGTGGTGGGCAGAGCACAGATAGCTCATTGTGTAGCTTTGTGCTTAATTACAAACAAACTAAACAGCGTCGTTTTGTTGGAGAGAAAAAAAACATTTAACCCAAATCAATCATTTTTTTGTATTTCAGCCGTGGAGGCGTTATAATGTGACGGTCAATCCCACTATTCGTTGGTAAAAGAGTAGCCCAAGAGATGGCGGTGGGTGGTGATGACTAGCTGCCTTCCCTCTAGTCTTACACTGCTAAATTAGGGACTACTAGCGCAGATAGCCCTCGTGTAGCTTTGCGCGAAATTCAAAACAAATAAACAAAAAATATCCTACTTTTAAACAAGATAGTGAGTTAACTAGCATAGCGTTAGCCCAGTGTATCTAGCTAGGGTTAGGATAAAATAGTGTATGTATGTATGTATGTATATATAAAATATGAAGAAAGAGAGAGGGGAATACCGGAGTCAGTATATTGGTTAAATACAACGACAGTGGTCAGTATAACTGGCAACTACCAAAGCTAAAATAATGTAATTATGTTTTCTGTGATATGTACTTTTTTGAATATTTAACCTAAGCTTCCTAAATGTTCTTAGGTGTTCGTAATTTTCTTTTTCCGATAGATAAAATTTAAAAAGTGTCCAAGCGAAATTGATACCACCGACTGAAATATCCGTGACTGTTCAATCAAAACTTATTTTGTATCTGCTTCGGAGCTTAAAAGCCTATCATAAATCTCGTTAAGGACGATCTAACCTTACAACTATTATACCATAGTGGTAGCTGCAAGTTTAACTGATTAGGACGTTTCTAAATCAGCAAAAATTTAATAGTTTAGTTGGTTAATGGCACCAGATAACCGACTCACTTTTGGCTCAAAGTAGTAAAACTTCTTAGTATTCTGGCAGTGGTTCAAAACGAATTGCAAATGTAACAGCAGCACAGGAAATGAATGCAAAAGGATGAACTGTGAATTTACTGAACAACTTGGAATTTCAACGTGGGGGGTCCTACCAATAAAGAAGAGAGTGTGGATCACACTTTAGATTATTTGTGTAAAATTCGGCCTTAGGATTATTTGGTATAACCTTCAAAATTGTATGAGACTCGACTCACAACACTCACCTAATATTTTGTTTTAGCCACGAGTGTGTGGCTTTTTGGGTTGTACTGCTTCGGTCCTTGGATGGAACAATCTGTTCATCACATGACAAGTTCCTTCGAAAGTGGATGAACATTGTTAATATTGTCATTTTCGTCAGTGTTTGCACTGTTCGTAAAGTGAAGATGATGAAGATACCTTTTTAGCTTTTTCCATCAACACAACACGTTCTTTAAATCTAGTATATAAAGTTTGTCTGTTTGTTTGCACCTTTCAGCCATCTATTCCTTATCCATTTCCACATTTCTTGATCAATCAGTACCATACTTGAAACAGTAATATAGGATAACATGAGGAAAGTCATGAAGAGGGTGGGGGTTGGATCCCCCATCTTCTGTATTAATAAACGTCAGTATGTGTGTGTGTGTATATATATATATATATATATATATCTATTCTTATACGTTTCCACATTTCTTGGTCAATCAGCACCCAACTTGACGCAGTGATACAGGATTAGATGAAGAAGGCCGTGAGGGGGATTAACCCCCATCTAATTTTATATTGATCGAATCCGTGAAAACAGTATGTCTTTCTTTTCAGTATTGGTACCTTTTTTATTTTTATTGCCATTTAATGTTTATTATGTCACGAAACAAAATAGAAGCACAATTTCCTATCCTTTGTTACAAACGAGTTTTTATTTCACCCTTACTAAGAAAACAAATAGAACCAGAATTTCCAGTCGTAAAATGCTACTCTAATGAAAATAGTTATAAAAATAGTATTCTAATGTTAACTAAAAGAAAAGTATAATGATGAAAGCTGAGATTCTAGTCACACACAAAGCTTTGGATTGACAAAGTGAGGAAGCCAGTAATGCAGGGATTTTATGTTCCATGTAAAGTTGAGACGGCTTAGTTTGCTATGTAATCTTTAGCCGATCAAGTGATATGTCCACTTCCATCCCTATCTTGTTTGATTCCTTTTTCAACTTCAGTAGCCAGACCTATATAGCTTTTTTATTTAGCGATAATTTTTTCTTATATTTTACTGAGTGAACTGGACTACATCATACATT